GTTGGTGCGTGTAATAAGTGAAGGAGAAGTTTCTTTGACTTTGGGGCTGGTCTTTGGTGGGGGGTGTGTGGTTGTTTGGTGCTCTTGCCTTAGTTGGCTCGCTTTTGTTGGGCCTCCGGCCTCCTTGGAAAGGGGGTTGCGCGGGTCTGGGGTGGGGGGTGACCCTGGTAGTGGGTTTATGGTGTTGGGTTGCTGGGGTACTTGCGTGCAAATCCCCACTGGTTTGGGACTGACCCGGGGCCTTCAGAGGGGTACTACTGCCCCTGTTTAGCGGGCTGGGGCGGGGGGGGGGGGGGGGCGGTTGGGGGGTGGCGGGGGGCCCCCTTCCTTAAACACCTTCCCCCCCCCGGGCCGCAACCTTAATTCTCTGGAATAAAAGGGCTTAGAGATAATAGGTACACGGTTGGGGTGGGGGCTGGTATTAACGGGGCCCGGCCCTTTGGGGTCTCTTGAAGTTTACTTTTGCCTTTTGTGTTTCGGGCTAGGGGTGTTTTGTGGTTGGTTAAAAGGTAGTCGGGGGGAACCCCCGCGCCCCCGCCCCTAGCCTCTCAAAGGGGAAAACCACGGGGCGTGGCAGAGCAACCGGCCCACTGGGGCCTTCAAATTATAGGCCCCCAATCCTAAACCCCCGCCTTGTTTATGGTGGTGGGGGGGATACCGGTTTGTGCGGAATGCGCACTGTGAGGATGCCGCACGCGGCCGCCCTGGTGTTGTGAGCTTCCGGGTGGCAAACCGAAACATGTTCCCTGGGTGCTTTTGAAAGGACGAAACCCCGAAAGGAACTCAGAGGGGGGGCGGGGGGTGTGGTTTGGGGTTTTTTTTGGCTCCGCGGCTGGTGAACTGCCCTTCAACGCTTTGGTCTGTTCACCCGGCGGGGGTGGGGGGGTTGTTGGACCTGTCTCTGGGGCTTCCTGGTGTCCCGGTTTGTTAAAGCCCTTCTTACAACCGGCTTGAGCGGGGGTGGGTTGGGCCTCTGGGTTTACGCTCGTTGGCTGGAGTTCTGGCTGGGGGCTGGGTGTGGTGGTGGGGGGTGGGGGGGTGTTTCTGTTGTGTGAGGTGTGGGGCGGGGTGGGTTGGGGTTGGGGGGGGTCTGGTGTTGGGTTGTGGTGGGGGGTGGGTTGGTTGTTGGGGTTGGTTTGGGGGGGGGGCCGCGTTGGTTGGCGGGGGGCCCGCTGGGGTGGTTTCCGGGGGGTGTTTAGGGGGCCCCCCTCTTGGCCGCTTCCGTTGGCCGCCTCCCCCTGGGGTGGGTACTCGCGCGCCTCGAGCCCTGTACTGGACGGTATGTAGGCAATGAAAGAGTTGGACTGAAGGTTGAGGGACTCGGGTGTTAAATGGGGTGGGGGGGTGGCGGGTTCCCGGGCCTCTTCCCCCCCCTTCCCCCCCCGGGTCGGGGCTGGGCGGCTGGTGTGTTGGTGCGACGTACTGTTGGGGTTCTTGGGGTTGGTTGCCGTCTAAAACTGCCACGGCGGGGGGGTTGCTGGGGGGTGGGGGGTAAGGGGCGGGGGTTTTTGGGGGTGGGGGGTTTGGGGGTGGGGGGCTGGGGGTGGGGTTCTTCTTCTTGCCCCCCCCCTGGCTCCCTCCCGCCCTTCGTTTTGGGTTTCCCCGGTGTATTTCTTTTCCTCGGACCCCTGTGTTCTTTGTTAGGAAGGGCAAATTACGGGATTCAACGCCGTCCGGCCCCAGTTTCACAGTGGTGGCGTCGGGTAAAGAGTCTGGTTTCCACCTTGGGCCTGAAGGCGGGGCCCCGACGCCTTGTTTAAACGTTCATACTTGTTGTGTTCTTTAGGTTTGCGCCCTGGGGGCGTTTGGGGGGGCGGGGGTTTTCTAGGAAGGTGGCTTGTAGGTGGGGAACTTTTGGGATGGGGTGGTGGGGGTTGGGTTTGTTGGGTATTCTGGGTATTTCTTCTCCTCCTTCCCCTTTTCCTTCTCCTGTTCTTGTCCCTCCGCCTCCGTGGCGCGCGGTGTTCTGCTTCTTCGCCCCTTCTTGTTCCTTCTTGTTCTCTGCTTTTGTTCCCTTTGTCTTTTGGTTTGGCTTCTGTGTGGCTGGGTTTGGCTTGAACCCCGTTTTTACATTTACCGGGTTTAGGATAAACAACAACTGGCGTAAAATTTTGCTGTGCTGCAATAGAAACCTTCTCTGTAGGATTGTCGCCGAAAAGACAACCCTTGCTCTGCCTGGGCCCAAATAAAGCAAAAACCAACTACTTGGAAACCGCTACCCAGCCCAAAGAAAACAAAGGGTAGAAACACTTTTCTTTTAGGAAGAAAGAAAAAAAAACCTGGGTGGAAGAGGAATTTCTGCAGGGTTAAGACCGCTCGCAAAGAAAGCAACACAAGAAACCCTTGTCTCTGCTTGCACAAACGAGAAAACTTTCGTTTCAAAGCCTTTCTGGACTTCTTTCCAAAGGAAAAAAATCCTTTTTAAAATCTGTATTTCTAGTTCAAAAACTCAACTGACTCAAAGATTTCAGGTTAATCCCACCACTGTGCCACCATGTCAGGTTCCTCCCCCACTCTGAACTCTAGGGTACGAGTGGGGACCTGTGAAAACCTCCTAAGCTTACTTTACCGCTTAGGTCAAAACTCCCCAAGGACAAAAATTACACCGTTATCCTTGGAATGGCCACCACCACCAAACAAACTGGTTACTGGGGAAGAGCGTTTGGACGGCGCCCCCAAACTTCCCAAAACCTGCACCCCACTTCCTGGACAGGTTTGGAAAACCACCAATTGCCTAGGTGACTACAGACCCGACCCTGGACTTAAGAACAAGAACAACCTCCCAACACTTGCACCCCCCTTCCTGGGAAATGTTGGATAAAAGCTCACCAATTTGCATAGGTGACCACGACCCAAACCCTTGGACTAGAACATGAAAACGTCAGTTTTTTACAAGAAGACTTTTAATAAAAAATAGAAGTAAATAGAAAAAAGAAACCCCCTGTAAAATCAGGATGGTAGAACTTACAGGGAATTAGATTCAAAAACAGAGAACCAGGCAAAAGCAAGTTACAAAAAACACGACGAAAAGTATTCTATTAGCACAAGCTTTTCAGCCTTTAAAGAAACATAACTAACACAACGCGATTACTTACTAAAAGCTAAGACCACGGCTGCCCTGGCACGAGACACAGCCCCCCCCCTTTGAAGACTTGCCTCTTGGCTTTTGGTCGGTGCGGGGATGCCAACCCTCGGGGGGCCGCCGGGGGTCAAGGGGGATCAAGAGGCAATACTTCCCCTCTCGCAAGCACATAGTCTGAGTGTAGCAAAAGCCTTTTAATAACAGAGAGAAACAATGTGGCATTATGTTGGGGAAACACCACCAACAGGATTCATAACACAACCCATGAGCAAAAAAAAAAAACCCACCCCAGGCAAATTGGGGCATGCCCTTTTCCCTTTGGTTCTTGAGTCCAGCAACCCCAAATCACCCAAAGTCCCAAAAGTCCAATGCCCCAAAAGTCTCTGTCCCTGGTCAGGGCAGCCCCAGAGTTCGAAAGTTTATCTGCAGAGCTTTACCTCCCAACCTGGGTGGAAATGGGACGGGGGTAAGAGGCACCTTACATGATCTGAAGCTGACCGCCCCATAGCGGCGCTCCGCTCCGCCAGCCGCCCCACAAACTCCTTCGCTCAGCTCCACAGCCCACAAGCAGCTCCTGCCATCCACACACTGCTCCGCGTGGAACTGCTTCACCAGCCCTCCCCCAAACTGCTCTACAATATATCTTCAGGCTCCCCCACTACTTAACACAACACTCAGTGATTTCAGCTCTTAGGTGAATTCAGCTTGTAGTAGAGGAGCCCCAGTGCTGGTGCACTGTCAGCCCAAAGTGAGCTCAGCAGCCTATAACTAGACTTCTAATTAAATCAAAATTAGCTCTGATATTCCACAGTGGGGAAAGGAGGAAGTGCAATTAGCATATAAAGCCCTCACCAAGGGGCCCATGCCACCAAGTATTACTACTTGTCCCCAGCCTCTCTCTATTCACACAGTTTTGGAACCCATGACCCTTGCCTAGCGAGTGCTACTTAGTTGATGGTGAATCCCTCCATCATAACAAAAGGCCATGTACAGTTCCAAGCACAGTTCCCATAATCAGGGTAATAACAATTTATTCTTCCTGCCCCAATAACAGAGACACTGGGGATCCCACAGCAGCCAAAGTGACCATTTGGGCAGCTATGGTCTCATTCTAGGCGTGGTGGGTGTGCCTATGCAAATGAGATCAGCCCCTGAAGTTCTTTTCCACAACTTGCCACACCTCACCACCAGCTGTCAGGGTGGAGCTCATCCTGACACTGCTTACAGAGATATGGGCAGCCTAGCGTGACCAGATGTCCCGATGTTACAGGGACAGTCCCAATATTTGGGGCTTTGTTTTATATAGGCTCCTATTACCCCCCACTCCCTCCCAATTTTTCACACTTGCTACTTGGTCACCCTAGGGCAGCCACAGTGTTGCCCAGGCCCCTGGGGATCTGACTGTGGCCTGTGGCTGCTGAGGTCGGCAAGGTGCAATCCATCTTGGCCCAGCGGCCCTGGGGTCTGCCCCATGGGACTCAGCACAGGCCACCCAGGCCCAGGGTAGCTCGGATGCCTTCAGGTCTCCACCCCGCGACGGGGCCAGCCTGGCACTGGGCTACCGCCATCTCTTGGGGTGGCCGCCCTGTGGCTGGGTGCCCCCGGGGGCGTGCGACTCCCTCCCCCTCTTCCCCCCGAGGGTCACCTCGGTCCATGGCTCATGCCCTCGGGGTGGGGGCCCATAACGGGCTGGAGACGCGGGGGGCGGGCGCCTGGCGCGCTGCGACGTGCCGTAACGGCCTCGCCCATGCCTCCCCTCCCGCACCGGCTCCCCCGTCGGCCGCGAGGCCGCCCGCCACACCCCAGCCGCGCAGCGCGCCGCCAACAGCCAGCAGGTGGCGCCGCAGCTCGCGCTCCCTGTCAGCCCCCCCCCCACACTTCCGCTTCGAAGGAAGAGGGCGAGGTCGTTCCAGAAACTTCCGGAAATAGGGGGCGTTAGCGGAAGTGACGTTCCGGAGAGCGACGCAATTTCTGTTTGTGCGTGGCCGGCCAAAGCTGGTGCAATCGCTGCTGCTGGGAGAGACGGGAGCGCGTCCGCCGTGCAGGCCTGGGCAGGGTGAGCCAGGGGCTCGCGGGGGAGGGGTGCGGGGGCGATTTATGCTGTTCCCGCCGGGGTGGCGATGGCCGTGCCGGACCGGACTGGACCGGACCTGGGGGTGGGGGGTAATACGAGGCGGGCTCTCGCCCTCAGCAACAGTGTTGTTGGTGATGGAGCTTCCCCCCCATCTCCCGCTGGCGGCAGAGCGGGGGCGGGGTGAGCGGGGGCCACCGCTGCTGTCTGCGCCCGAGCCGCTGTGGGGGCGCTTCTGGGTGCCGGGCCCCGGTTCTGGGCGGGCCTGTGGTGAGCCCTGACCCCAGCTCCGGGGTGCGGCGGGACTGGCGTGGAGCGCGACCCAGGAGTCCTTCGCGGTGGGAAGGGAGCGGATGCGGCGATACGCTCCCTGCCTTGGGGAGGGCCCCGGCGGCTCGGTTACTCTGACCGGCAGCTGGGTGCCGGGGAGATCCGCCGCAGCGCTGAGCGAGGACAAGGCCCGTGTTGATGCCTCGCAATGAGGCAAACTCAGATCGCGCCACACTTCCGGGGAATCTAACGCTGCGCGGGGGTGGGGTGGCGAGGGAGCTCCGAGCACCCCGGTACGCTCGCAGGTACCGAAGAGGTGACTCACGAGGCCGGTGTGTAGCCGCCTCTTCGCTCTGAGTCCGCTTCACGTTTTTGGGGGTTGCTCTGGGCGCTAGTTTTTCCTTAAAAAGCAAGCGAGGGAAGCGGCCACAGAGCCCCATGGTACCACTGGAGTTCTTGTACGTTAGTTGTTTGCAGTAAAACTTCCACGCACCTGTGAGTTCCCTTCTTCAGTAAGTAAGGGCAATGGTAGCAGCCTAGTGTGTTTGCAAAGCCGAGGGGCCCTTGGATGTTTTGTATATGATGTTGCCAAGTTTCCCACGCACAGTGTCCCTGTGAAGGTGAGGCAGATGGTTCATGTCATCACTATTTGTAGGATTTCTGGGATGGTAGTGAGTGGGCAAGTGGAGTCTCTGGTCTTCCTGCTGACAATAAAACTTTAAACTAGCTTCAGGGTGGTCACAACTAATGTGATTTGAAGTTGTTTGCAAAACTGGTTTCCTCTTTGAGGCAGGAAGAACATGGAACAAATTATTTGAGACATTAAGATCATTGAAGCCCTTTCTCATTATGTTTTAACTAGTAACTTTATAACCATAGATAGAAATTGGCGTGTTTAGCATAGAACATTGTTCTTAGGGGGCCAAGATGACATTATAGAAGCTAAATTTTTATAACAAGGTTTTAAATGTGGTCAAGCTTGTGACCTGGCATAGCAATTTAGTTGTCAGTCTTGTGCAGGGTGGATAAAAATCAGTGATTTATTTAAAAACATAAAAATAAATCCAGTTTTTTATTTAAATCGGGGAAAAAACTATTTTCCTTTTTGAGAGGGGGAAAACCTACCTAAAGGTAGTTTTAATTAAGATTCATGATAGCTCAAAGATATCTCCTCGTGGAATAGGGATTAGAAGTTCTAATCCTATAGTATGAGACTATATATTCATGTAATGTTTAAGAAAAGTTTTGTAAATGAGTTACAGTAGTTCATGGATTTAGGGACCCAGTTTTATGGGATTCCAGGGGCTTCTGTATAGATTATTTACGTTAATCTTTCCATCTGTCCAGTGATGCTCAGTCTAGCAGATACTGTCAGAGATGCTTAGTTTTGTAGTTCTCAGACTGGATTTGTGTTTCCAGAGATAATATGCTTATTAATAGCAAAAATGTTTTAAAATAAATAATATATAAAGGTGAGAAATAACAGACCTCAACCCTATTGTCCCTTTGCAAATTTGCGTACACGGAGTCAATCCCTTACCTCTCTCTCAAAGTGTAAAGTTTCAAAAAGTTCAATGAATAGAAGATTGTTGGGGTGGAATAGATCTGGACAAGAAGAAGTCTGGAGATAAGTGTGAGAAGGGAGAGACGGGCAGTAGGAACAAAAGTGAAACAGGAGTATAAACAAACAGGAAAATGAAGGTGAAGATGACTGAATTAGCTGCAAAAACCAATATTTTAAGTTTCTCGTGTTGAACTGGCTGACAATTTCATTTTTTTAATATTTCATTTAACTATTTTAAACAATTTTTTAACGAAAACAAACCTGATTTTAAACTTGAATGTTGAACTAAATTCAAAAATTCATATGCTTGTTTTGTTAAAATATTATATGTTTGCTATCGAAGAAAAAAATCCAGAATACTTAACATTGTTTTTGTTTTTTAGTTAAATAAAACAATTTAAATGTCTGTCTGGTGGTGGTCTCCTCCTAATACATCATGGCAAGAAAATCCTCCAAATATTAATGATAGTTCACCTCCCAGTGACTTCATAAATATCTGCTTCTATTACATTTGGTAAATGAAATAACCAAACAATCATTCATTTTCTGATATAGCTGTAAAACTAATTTGAAAAGTTTTCAAAATAAACCACTTCAAAAATGTATAGTGTGTACCTTCTAAAAATGAAACTTACATCTATCTCGAGTTGTGAAGAATATGTATTAAGGTTACAGCCCACAAGAATGCACTTTTATGTAGAAATCCATGATTAAATTATCTGCTTGACTAGTGATTTAAATCAAATCCACTGTGGTCTTGTATAGAGAATATCATAAAAAAAACCATGGCTTTAGCCTAGTTTGAATGATTGAAATGGCCTTGGGCTCTGCTAGTTCCATTCTCTGATTATATGGTCCTTTGGCAGTTATTGCTGTGTACTTGTGAGGGGTGCATAATCATATGGGTCTGGATTCTTCAGGTTTTGGGATATGAGGTATCGTGTAACTCCAGTTAGAAAAGGTGTTTGTTTCCAGATGGGGAGGTGTAAGAACTTGGCAGTTAAGTTAAACTGTAGTTGTGTTACCTTACTGGGCTGACTAAATAGTCAGCTGAAGTATGTGTAAGGCAATGGGCAAATATGCTTACCAGGACACTTGTTTTTTTTTTAAAATGCGCAGAACAAAAAATGAACAAATTCCATAAAGGTTGGCTTTATAAGTTAGTTAATAGCATTCATTTGAGCCCTATAGATAGTCCTTGTATTAGCTCTGGCTATGACCACAGAGCCCTTCTTATCAGATCTTTACATAATTTTTTGTTTAAATCCTCTTTCCAGTTTCTGAGACTGAATTCAGTTTGTTAGTGGACCGTGGAATTGTTTATATGTTGCCACAAGAAAATTGTTATCACTAATGTCCTGTGAAAACATGAAATCTAGAAGTGAGAACAGCAGGGCTTTTTACTTCCAGTAGCTAAACAACTAGTTACAGCAAAATCAAAACATCACACATAAGTTAGCATAATTTCAGAGCACTATAATACATCAAAAATAAATCCAAGGTCAATTTTCAAAAAAAAAAAAAAAAAAAAAAAAACCCCCCCACCCAAATTTCAGCAAACAATATCTTTTAAAAAAAACTCTGGAAGAAATAACTTTCTTTGAAAGTTTGAAATGTTTTATTTAGTCATAGTGGGGAAATTCCCACTTGCAGTGGGGTGGGGGGAAGGAAGGGAAATAAAATATGAACAAATGCAGAGAAAAGGAGAGAAGGAAAATCCTAAAAATTCAAAACCATTTTCTTCAAACAAACAGTTTCAGTTATTTTAATCAAAAAATCAATTTCAACCAGCTTCGCACACAAGTAATTGCCTTTATTCAGCATAACGTATTTTTCTGCCTCAGTTACTTTTGGTTTCCACAAGTTAATTGTTTTCCAATGCTGCCTTCCATCGTGGATAACACTTCAGAATATTTTAAATTTTAATACAGGGTTTTTAAAACATCTATTCCAAATTAAATTGGAAATGGACAGTCTATGTTAAGTCCCCAAACTTAACATATTGAAATCATTTAAACAAAATAAAAAAAAAATCGAAGTCAAACCACAACTTGTGGAAGTCATTGGTTAAACACCTGGAATCCGAGTCCGTTGAAGGCCTAATACCAGTTGCTTTTTTTGCTGGTGCATAGAGAATATTTTCTTTTCAGTTTATTCAACTAGTTCAGTTCAATGGCTCGTACAAAGTTAAGAAACCAATTGGAAGTTGGAAAAGGAGGAAAGGTAGTCTTCCTCTTCTAATTTAGAAATAATAAAAACTAGGTGCAAGAGGATGAACTCTGCTAGTTTTTAAATATTTGACGGACATGGTGTCCTCAGAAGTATTTAGTCTGGCTTCCACTGAATTCAGCAGAAGTTAAGAGCCTAAATACCTTTGTTTCCAGTCACCGTGGCCCAAATCTACATACAGTCACCTCAGTTCACTAACTACAGATAATACTACCATAGTTTAATAAATCAGTTCATTTTAAATGCAAAACATGTTAAACTTTTTCTTTTATATCTGGTATGCCAGGGGACACACTAAAGTTTGTGCCCCCAGAAGGTCTTCCTGGTTCTTGAGGCAAAGACAATGGAATTAGGAAAATATAAAGGGAGTAAAAAGACCTTCTAGTTAACTATTGGTTGGGGAATAAAGCACCCTCTGATTCTGTGAATATGGGATCCCCATATCTGGTGGCCTGGTAACTTGATGTAAGTAATACTCCTGGGGGAATTCTGCAGCAAAAAAATTCTGTGCACAATATTTTCAAATTCTGCATATTTTATTTGTCAAAGTAATAGTACAGTCACTCCAGTTTCAGTTATTTTGGTAATTTATTTCAAAATGCCTGTCAGCAAGTATGTCTGTAACAATACAGACAACAAAAGATTCATGAAATGTTTTTTGACAAATTCCTTACTAGGCATATTAATACAGAACTCTGAGTAATTCATTTAAACTACAGTACAGAACCGTATTTTCGGAACCCCTCAGAAGCAGGGCAAAGGCTTGGGGGAATCCGGGGGAGTGGATAAGCTGAGGGAGAGGAAAGTAAATTGCTGGGAAGGAACCTGGGTCTGAAGTTGGAGGGCTCTTGGGTATGGGTGGGAAAAGTATGGAACAGATTTTTGGGGGAGCCGGGAGGGATTGTTAGGGAGCTTCCCCCAT